ATGATGTGACCGCGCTGAGTCATGTCTGGTCGACTCCTTCATGGGAATCGGGTGGTGCGGCAGCCAACGTGACTGAGTTTTATGAGCAGGAGATCACATTCGAAATCAAAACTAGCACTAGCGACATCTTGCCGTCTTCTCCGCCTATTTATCCTGGCAGCAATTTGACTTCTATTGCTCACATTTCGACCATTGCCCAATCTTTCACTACTCTTTCTCCTACTTTTCCTGATCTCGCTTGCAACCGTACTATGTAAGTTCGACAATCCTTGCCCTTTCAGTTCGCCTTAATGATGTGATAATTCTTAGTGCATGTTCTTTCCAGTACATCTATGGACTGTGGGCCTTGGACTTGCAGAAAACTGGCTCATGTTGGGGACTGTGTTGAAATGATAGTTGACTTCCATTCAGCTGTCAAAGTTAGTGCCTTTCCTTAGAGTGGTTTTATAGATATAGTGTGCATTCTTCTAAAATTCTACTGCATCACTTACAGCAACTATTCAGATTATTCTATTTATCTTATTTCTTAAGTCGGAAACATTGTAATTTTCCTTACAGCTAGTAAGTCCACCTGAAGATCCGCATTGTGATGCAGCACGAAGGATTTGTGTGTGGTTAATCTGTAAGTTCATTCATAAAATGGACGACTTTCTAAAAAAAAGAAGTTGTGAAAATGGTTTTTCGAACAATATTTTTCCAGCTAATACAAGGATAGAAATCAATGGAACCTTGTCCCAAGTACCCTCTAACGTTACCGTGACCCGTGGTCCCTCAGTGGGGGAATTTATATTCAAATTCATGGATAAGGAGTACAACCATGACAACAACAACGATGATGATGATGGTGAATGGGGAACAGCTGGCCCAAATTCTCAATTCAAGACCACGTCAACTGCCGTAACAATGACAGCGGCAAAAGGTTTCTTCCTCATGCTTTTTGTTCTTGGACTCTTTCGCTAAATTTTAATTGCTTTCCATTACCCACTTTATTATAATAATTTTGTTCTTGTGCGTTTGCAATAAAATAATCTGGTAATCACTATGGCTTTTTCTATTGCATTTGGAATGAGAGGAAATGATATTGCACCCCCAAGGTTTCCCTGAAGACGACAGAAAATACATTACATGGTCAAAGCCCTTATTGTTGTCATTCGGAAGGGATTAGGACGTCTGGCATGGGCCGAAGGACTGGTCGCATAGTTAAGGTGTTTGATGCTGTGACCACCCACCTTTAGCAGCAGAGCATAAAATGAGATCTAGAGAGCATAAAAACATTCCTCATAACCAAAAATCAGTAGTATTTTTGTTAGGAGATGAGTGTTAATTAGTAGAAAGCACAAGCATGTGGGTTAGCAGAATGAGTGGCAGAATGCGCCAAAAAAAACAAGCGACGTCTGACGCTAACTATTCGGAAGTATTACACTTGATTCGACTCTCCGTGACTTCCCTGAAGACGAAGGAAGAGGTAATAGTAAGGTGTAATGTGTTCTGTCAACGTAGAGCAGGACCTAAGCTCACTGGCACGGCCTCTGGGTCATGCCGCCCAGCGGAAGTACGAAAGTAGAACATTGAGTGTCTGAGAAATTAAAACAAAGGGTTAAACAAACAGTCACAACAATGCATAGTCCATCTCACCTTTTGGTCGACTTAGCTAGGTCTCTCATTCCTCGGCCGTCGCAACGTAGTCGGAGTTGCAAGAAAGACACCCACGAACTAGCAGCGTCGGTCATTGAATTTCATGTAACTGAGAAGAGACATGACTGCATTGTCAATGATCTCAATATAACTACTGGATCAGGAGCTGCGTCCTATTTGAGAACCGTATAGGGAAAATGGGATTGTTCTCAGGAATCTCGTAGGAACACCTGTCTAAAAGTGGAGTCATTTAATAAAAGAAGGGATTTGGAGTAATTTTTTGCAGGAATGTTTTGCTCCTGCTTTTTTCTTGATACTTTGTTCTTACTTTAGTTCTGCCTTTCCATATCCAACTGGACTCCATCCAGCTAGTAAAGAATTGGAGGAGATTTCACGTGTTCACTTTATTGACATCTTAAGAGAGACTTGGTGGACAGCTCCGCAACGAACTTTTCCAGATTGTTTTACGGCCGCGGCTATTGTTGCTTCAATTATAATGAGTTCTCCTGCAGACCATAGGGTTGGGGTAGCTGCCCAAGGTAGACGTCATTTTCAGACCTAGTTGGGGCTGAGTATTTAGTACTAGAAACCAGGATAGTTGTCCAGCAGGATCAGGTAGCTTTCCACGTCCACTAGTGTATCACCGTTAGTCTTTCCTGAAGACCAAGGAGAACTTAATAATTGAGCAGGATATGAATTGACGACGCATAGAAGGGCTCAGTGGTCACTAACATCGTCCGGAGGCCAGGCAGCCTAGCGGAAGTGCCCTAAGTGTTTGCTACACCAAAATAAAGAGTTAAACAAAAAACAAAGTATAGCATTCAATACTTCAGGCTTTACACTACTAAGCAGTGTTTTCTCTCCCATTTTCACTCCACTTCTTAATTTTTTTGCAAAATTACCCGCGTACGCAGATAATATCAAAATTAGTATATAATTGTGGAAAATATGAGACAATGTTACTAAGAGACTTTAAATGCTAGTACACCTTTTGATACAGCTCGTAGCAACAACTTGTAAAATGTAAAAACTTTCCGAATGCATAGGAGTGTGGACATGCATGATAAAGTACAGGTATTATTAATTCTATAATGGACACATTTTTGTGTTTTCTCTGCCATTTTCACTTCCTCATATCATTGAGATACAGCTTGGAAAGGATGAGGTCCTTGGATACCTTCAGATAAAGTATGGTGGTAGAAGGCATCGCCTAGAAACGGCTTGATAAATTTAACTTTAAGGAGGCATAATGAATTTAAGATGCACTATATTTTGAAAGATATTCCACTTTGGTAATGAAGAATTAAGGTGGTTGACATTAGCATAAGGGAATTGATAAAGCAAACGACAATCGTACAAATCAAGTGCAAAGAGGAGTCCATGGAATTTTACAGTATGAGTGGCCAGCTTGCTGAAAAATGAGCCACAAGTACGGACCAGATTTATTTACAAGAGGTGATGCAACTCGATCGTCTCCAAGGGGTGTCACAGATCCAAATGAAATTGGCGAAAATGTATCTTGTTTGAAAACGATTGCAGCTCATAGTGGTTATTATTTTAAGAAGCTTCTTGACTTCGGTTAATTTTGATCACAGAATCCATATGAACTAATCAATTATTTTGGAGTTAATATTGACTTTGCATGAAAGTGAAAGCAAAAGTTAAAGTGTCCAGCTATCATACTCATGGCAGTGATTCTTACTGGATCTTTAATCATCAACCTCTTTAGATGCCTTTTCTATTAACTTTAAAAAAGGACACTCGTCACATTTCAACACTTGCCTGCTGTTTGTTTAACTCTGATTTTGATAGAGAGCCAATTAGGGTTTTCGCTTCTGGGCCACGCCATGCCCTGCTGTACGTGGACATCGCATATCCTGCCGCAGTGTTGTTTCGCTTTTCGTCTTTAGGGAAGTCACAGGGTACTGCATGGGTAACCGTGGAAAGCTTCTTGATTCTGCAGGACAAATACCCTGGCTAACATTACTGGATGCTCAATCTCAGCTTAACGATCTGTGACGACCCTTAGCAAAAGGGTTGAGAATTAGGTTTAACTTCAACAACTATCCCGGCCCTATCGTCTGCAGGAGAGCTACTTACATTTGAAGTGACAGCAACCGTGACCGTGAACTATCTGGAAAAGTTCATTGTTGAGCTCTCTACAGTACCTCTATGAAGATGTCAATAAAGTAAACACGCAATACCCTCTCCAATTCTTTACTAGCTGGATGGAACCCAGATAGACATCGTTGGGAAGCACTGTTGTGGCAAAGAAAAATAGATGCAAAACCTTGATTCCATGAGGCTATATCAAACTCCATAATTTCGATATACGACTGCTTGGAGGCAAGTGACCTTGCCATTGGCAATGGACACGAGTGATGGCCAGCAGTTTCTCGCGCCTTTTGGTACAGTTCCCATGCAGGACGAGACTCGGGATTGGGTAGAATTGTTGAGGTCACTGACGTCGTAATCAAGTACCTTCTCAGTTAAATGAAAATTTGACGACTAGCGCTGTTGTTTGGTGGGTGCTTTTCTTGCAGCGCCAACTACATTTTGATGGCTGACGTGGGAGGTTGACCAAGGGGAGCGCCAAGGACGAAGTACGACGGAGGAGGACGGCTACATAATACGTTAACTGTTGATTGAAATCTCGGTTTTGGTGACGGGCTACTGAGGGATCCCACCATTGTTTCCCCGCCAAGCGACCATGCCGGTAGCCCCAAGCTCTTCTACAAGTCGGCAATACATATTCTGCCCAGGTAATATGCCTTCTTTCATCTTCAGGGAAGTCCCGGGGTTTACAATAAATCTGCTTCAAAATATTGTCAAACCTTGCATAGGTAGAATGACCGAGTAACAAACCAAGGTGATAATTCATTTATGGCCAAAATTAACAGCTATGCACCCTACAACTTTCCATAAATTTAAATACATTGTTATTCCATCTTAAAATCTTCTTGATTTTATCTGCTAGTAAGTTTAGGGTGCCAGTATGGAACTAAAGAAAGCGATTGCTATGGGAATCCTACTAGAATCAAGCGTGGAGAAGCTTTATGTGTATTATTTACCACTGAGGTATATTGCATTGTAATTAAAAGTAGAATAGAAAAAGTGGAAAGCGGTTTATAGCACAGTGGTACTAAAAGGATAAAACAAAAGAAGGCGTAAAAATACGGGGATTTAGTTCACCCTCTGGCGGCATCAAATACAATTGCATTGCCATACAACACAACTAAGCAAGTACACTTTGACTCGGTTTAACTGGCCGATAAAAGAATGTTTTTCGTATGAATCACACATCTTTCTGTAAAACTACAAATTTGGAAATTATTAGACCATTTGTGAAAGATAAAACAATTTTTTAGCTTGTACCTATCAAGATATAAGTGAATGGAGACCAACTTAAGAACTTTCAAATTCTTTTCACCTTGAAGCGGTGGATGCCTCACACGTAAGCAGATGCATCAAAGGAAAACAATCACGACAAAAGAAAAGTGGGCGCTCTGTGCGGTCCAGTAGCAGTTCACCCCACCCACCAAGTCTTGTGACTTACTTCAAGGTGTAGAAAATTCCATGGAATTACAGGTAAGTTCTCTTAAGATCACTTATACTTGGGTAGAGTTCTTAAGTAGTATTAACAATTTCACTTGTCATGGCATAATTTTACGAAGAATGTATGCCGAAGAAGCGATTAGAGATGAGGTGATATGGTTTTGCCTGTTCATGAGTAAGATGCAATAAACCAGCTTAAATCTTACTGCTGTGTTTGGTAGTAAGGTGTGGGAAATTTCAACAACTCTTTTGTTATGAGTTTTCATAGTTTTGAAAATTGACGTAGTGTTCTACAACACTAAAGCTTGAATAATAAATTAACACGAGCAGAAAAACAGATTTGTTTTCCCACATTACCGACTATAATACTCTGATTATTTGTTTAGCCCTTCATTTTTTGTGTCACAGACACCTTGGTCCCCGCCATTGTACTTTCGCCGAACGACATGGCCTCCACACCACGCCAGTTGTCCCAGGCTCTTCTGTATTTCGGCTCTACATTCTCTGCCCTAGTATTATAACTTATTTTCATCTCAGAAAAGAGATAGATATGACTGAGCAGCACTGAAGTGAGAGCAAGTTGGCAAGAAGGAATAGATGCAAAACCCTATCCCCACGAAACTACTTCAAACTCCGTCCCTTGTTAAATGACTGCTTTTAGACCAGTGTTCTTACGACTAGCGATGGGGAAATGAGATGTCCACAGCAATCCCCCTTCCGCAATACGGTTCCCAAATGGGATGAAATTCCCGATCCAGTAAGAATGTTATGTCGGATCTGTGATTTTGGGCTCAGATACCTTCTCAGTTGCATGAAACCTTTATGACTGGCCCCATCGATTTGCGGCCGTCTTTTTTACAACACCGACAGCAATGTCATGGCCGACATGGGGGGATGATTAAGGTCATGCAATACTTTGGCTATTTAAACTTCGGTTTTGGCAACATAGCGCTAAAGACTCTGTAGCCCCTAGCCCTTTTGGGCAATGGCAATCCATCTTTTCCCACAGCATCGGCACTCGGGGCTCTGCACGATAATTTCTGATATGTTTTATTCCTTAGCACTCAAGTTTTGTCAACTCTGCAAGTTAAAATGAACTGATTGCAAATTTGGTGCCTTGTTGTCTGAGAGTTTCAGAAAATTTAGTGATTTAGAATATGAATATGTTTGGCTTTGATTATGATCCCCTAGCTGGCTCATTGTGCATTAACTCTCGGAAAATATACACTCAAACATATTTAAGATTGTTTCCGAACAAATTAAACACTTTTTGGTTAGGCAACCACAAAAAATGATTGCTTTTAAATTGAAATGTTGATTACATTAAAAGTAAGGCGAATAATGGTATTATACTAAACCATTTAAAATGTGGAAATGATTGTAACAAGAAAGGATGTTGGATTTCGGAGGTCAAGTATTAAGAAATAATGATTACTAAGTGATTCTCTGCCATAAAAAGCAATAACATTTGCTTGACTGTGCATAATACATCTGCTTAATAGGTGCTTGGTGTTACTCCCGTTAACCTCGGCCTAATTCTCTCTAGAATGAACAGACGAGTTGAACAGGGGCACGTTTTACGGGGTGCAGATACCACGGTTTAGCGCTTTCAGGGCACGTTTACCCCTCCAGGACTGAAGGTGTCCGATTCGTCATGAGGTTTCTCTTTACTGACTATCTCTCGCCTAATAAGCACATTCAAGCAAACGCGAATTGCTCATGAAGGAGCTAAATTACAGATGTTTCTTACTTTATAACTCTCAGTGAATGGTTCGCTGGTTGTGGGATAGTCTGCGAAGTCAAATTTATCCTCGTAGACTCTTACACTCATACCTGACCCCTTTCTCTTCATCCTACTTTTTCCTCCGCCTGAAGAGTCGCTGCACTTGATTAGTTGGTGGAAAGTGAATCTCACTTTCTAAAAGGTGTAAGTGGAAAGGAGTATCCACTAATCTTATTTTCGTAGAGCTCCTTCGTGCATTTGCATTATGGAAGTCGTGACCTTAAAGCCCACGTTCATTGAGCGTGACAGGTACTAACTAAAAGCTCACATTATTGCATGGAACCTTCGTCTTGAGCCTCGGTGCGGTCATAAAACGAGTAAAAATACGGAAAACACGAGTTATTAGTGGGTATGGATGGCATCATCATTTGCAAGGATCTAACGACTACTAAAAATGCATGAAAATTTTAGGATTTGAGTAAATTTTTGAAATAACTCTCGGTTTCGGCAACGAGCCACTCAGGGTCTCAGCCATTGTACCTCCAACGGTGCTGGCTGGCCTCCGGGCCGTGCACGTAGCCCCAATCGATAAAAAGCATTCTGCCCCAGCCTTATGTCTCCTTTCGCCCCCAGGAAAGTCTCAGGGTAATACAATCCAAGTTGTTTAGTTTTGAAAAAATTATCCAATTCATCTCGTTTACTACGTTTCTAGCCACAATGTTGAGAGCTGTTAATTACCAAGTGTCAATGTTCTGTGCGTAAAAAGCCGTTTTCGAAGTTGGAGCAAAATAGAAGTAGCACTATCGTAATTTTATTTAATAGGAAATTAAGTTCCAGTGCTCCCAACGAATTCGCGGTTTGCCTACCGCTGCATTAAAGAATTTAAGCAGATCTTCTCACACGACAGTGGCGAGAATAAGCGATTGAAACCAGGGATTAGTACACATACACACATAATCTGGACCAAGATTCATTTATTTTATCAAACTCTTTTAAACGGCAAACCTTGCATTTGCTAACCATTGTTTATAATACACAATAAAACAAATATTAAAATGTTGAAGAAGACATGCCCCATGAAATATAGCTTAAAACGTCAGCTATTTAAATCCAATTTTGAAGAACTTTATGATCAAAAGGGTGAAACTAGGATACTTTAGCATATGCTTAGAGGTCTGACAGCCATTACCTGAGGCATTTTACAACAATTTAAGCAACTTGATAAGAAAATTGGAATATGAAGCGAATCCTGCCATAATTTGCTCATAATACTTTTTCCATTGAACTAAGTGACGAGTAGTTTAGTAATAAGTGTAAGACGTTAATTGTTAAACTCTCGGCTTTGGTAAAGGACACTTTGGAACCTGGCCTTAGGGCCATGTCGGTAGACTCAAGCACTTCCTTACGTAGACAATACGTACTCTGCTTGTGTACTGCGTCTTCTTTGGTATTTAGGAGAATCTTGAGGAGCTACAGGAAATACATGTATTCCCTGTTTATGACATGATAATGAAAAAAAAAGATAGATTAGGGATCACTTAGCTAGGCTTTTATGTGCATCAGACTTCACAATTTCACTCTATTGTCCCTATTACTCGTTTTAGAGACTTTATTTTGAACTATGAAATCTGCTCAACTTTTTTAAATGGCCTTCTAGAAGCCATAACAATGGAGGACGGCATGCAACCCACTTAGGCGAATCCGACACGTGAAAGATGCACGCAGAGGACATGTGATGTAAGCCAATTAAAATATTCTCCAAAATGTGAATAGGTGCTTCAAATAAAAAATCAAATTAGTGATTGGTTCCACCCTCACCGTTGGGTATAAATAGGGACTAAAACAAGAATTCTGAGCATTATACACCATGGCTCAAAGGAAAGAGTTTTTCGTACTGAGCGTCCTTCTCATTCAAATACTAACTAACATCAATGGATTGCATATGTAAGTACTTCAATATTTGTTAAAACTTTTTTATCCATAAAATTAAGTGAAGCTATTGATAAAAAAACACAAAGCAATTTTAATTAAACCCACTAAGGACAAATAAAGGAGCATTTAAAGTTCAAATATTAGATAAGGGAGATTTAAATGCAATAAAATAAAATTGTCAAAAAGTCAAGTTTTATATTACAGCAACGAGCATCTCCACATGGGTGCATCCGAGTTGCCCTTAGAGGGAGTGGACCCAACCGAATACCCACTAGGCAGCGAAGAACTTCTCGCTACGGATGCATCCGAGTTGCCCTTAGAGGGAGTGGACCCAACTGAATACCCACTAGGCAGCGAAGAGCCTAGCTCTTTTTTAGCGCTATAGTCTTTCGCTGATTTCATCTTTTTTCATCGCCTTTGGTCAGTGTGTTCCCATTCACAATTATGATTCTTTGTGTTTTAAATCTTAAGTCATAACTTTTAGCAATCTGTCCACTTCGACAAATTTTTTCTGCAATGATACATTACATATTCGAGGTCGATGTTTAGATTTCCGGTTTCCCACCATGAATTACGATTATGAATTTTAAATAATATGATCTACTTTATATTCATTGGGATATTACGTAATATAAAGTGGCTAATTTATCCGACATTCATTATGACATGGTAAATCTAAGGGCAATTAGTTTAACAACTTTCATATCTGTTAAGAAAATTTCTACAAATCAAGCAGAGATAAGTAAACATAGGTAGTTACTTTTAAATAACTTATGACGCCTTAAATTTGTACTAGTGTAGCGCCCTGATAATCTTCTGGAAATGAAGGAAGACGCTATAGCCGGGGAGAAATGGATTGTTGACGTAGAGAAGGAGTTGGGCTGCTGATGGCCCAATGGCAGGGCCGTCTAGCAGAGCTTGTTACCAAAGCTGTGGGTTAGACTTGCAGTTAAAGAATTACATTAGTTTACATTCATTGCTAAATCACATTAAGATACATAGACCTATTTTTCTAATTATATGCTCTCAGAGGTATCCTTATCGCACTTTTTTAGCGATAAACCTACATAATTGGGTAGGATACTGTTATGAGCTAGTGTTCGATTGTGCATTTATGGACATTATCAAGGACCAAATCAGTGTAACCAAGAGTTATGACTTTGGGAAATTGAGTTTTTAATTTCGAAAAGTACGTAATACTAGATCAGGTTTTCAACGTTCTCGTCCAATGGGTGGAGCACTGAGACATGGATTGGTCCCCCTCTCGTGTATTTATAGTACTTTGATTGACTGGGACCTTACCAAAACGCTCCCACATAGGTGTTGACCAATCAGGAGAACGTGGCTAGAACGATAATTGTGGTATGTTCCAGAATACCCAGGAAAAGAACTTTGCTAAAAATTTTGTAACTCTGACACACAAAGCTTTTTCTTAAGCTGTAAGCATCCCCAAAGGTTATGCTTCACCATACCTTAGTAGGTTGAAATACGTCCCAACGTTATTGAGGAGTGATTTGCGAAATGACAAGTTCCCTGGTAATATAAAATTATTCTTTTTATACTCTTTGTCTCACATAGGCGAAAGCTATAAAAAAGGAATTGTCTCATCATCCCCATCTTGATAACATTATATCATGTCTGTGACATCTTTGGTTCCTTAACCTCCCCTTCCAAAATTCGTCATACATAACAAAAAAACCTTAACAACTACGCCATTACAATAGCAAGGACATGAGAAAGTCTTGCCATTTTCCTCAAAAAACCGAAAATTTGCATAATTACCAATTTGGTGCACATGAAGTGCTATTATGCTTGGTATAAAATACTCCCTCAAGTAATCAAAGTATCCTTTCCAGAAATTTGCATATCATACATCACAATACAGGAATAATACGAAGTCTGTCTACCGTAGAGTAGGGGCAAACGGAAATGAGAGCTTGGGTATGAATGCGATGTGTGAGATAAGTCCATAAATGACAAGTTTTTCTTGTAAGTTACCATAAATGAGTACTACAAGCCTATTTTAGGGCTACAATACTGACTATATGTCATGAATTATGAAAATCCGAGGGCCAACACGAGTACTCTATTTTATCTGTGAATAAAATCATGAGAACTGTGTCAATGGAGCGCAAAATGCGAGTTCTTTCGTTTTGAAGTAGCGACCCATTGCCTAGCAGCAAGTGGTTTAGTAGAAACAATTGCAAAAAGACAAAGTAGTGTTGGAGGGTTGGTGCTTGTTCAAGCACTGCTATGGAAAGCATTCAGCCCCGTTGTTCCTGTATTTAATTAACGTCGATTGCCTGACCTATACAAAACCATTCGCCGAAGGACTAACTTAATATTTACTTTAATTCGTTTTATATTTTGTTTACTAGATACCCGTTCTAAAATCTCGCTCTTAGTGCTTTTGTATTGTTTGAAAAAACCTCATTTGAATAGTTGACGTACACAAATCCCATGAGTGCCCAGTTTAAACAAAAAATTATAAATGCTTTAAGAGATAGGCATGTGTTTTCCACACCATCATCAGTTAAATTAAACCGAGGTAAACATAGTGAAGCATATGATGCTATGAGGGGTTATTTTTCCAAGTGTTTCGTGCCTGGACGGCACACTTAGAAGAAGCGTTGAAGGAGAATATGCCTAAATGTATTATGGTGCTTTCATTAACTGTTATAAATAAAAATGGAGCCGCTTGTCATCTGATAGCTGAGAGGGAGTTAAATTTGGATTGTTTTTCATTGCAATGTCGCAAAAAAATGCATTGTCATTTTGAGATTGTATAATAATAGCTACTTTAAGCAAAGTTAAAAGTTCCGATATTCAATATGACAAGCTTTGAGCCTAATGGAAGAAGTTGAGCAGACATGTAAAAACCGGGTTCATTCAACATTTGGTTTATGGAAAAAAACGGCACGAGAGTAACTCAATGGCTCGTGTAGCTCCAAATTAGGGGCCAAATTTTATTGCGAAAAGAGACCAAATGTGACTAATAAAGGGAAAGGTGTATTGTGGGCAGTAAATTATCATGGTATGACAATGAATTGTCACGGATTCTCAGTCAAAAATCACTTGAATGCAAATGAGATTGCTATAACTAGGCAAAGGGTCTAGAAGGTTAGTTTATCAGCGGGACACAAATTGTCTTATCGGTAGAGAAAACTCCAGCCATTGACGTTGTAAATTTTACACTAGCACTAGTAAAGTTGCACACAGCATATGATCGAATGTTCACGTGTTGTTTTAATACAACTGCTCCAAACATCCGTAGTTCTCGTCAGTCATCCGTTTAAGCAACAAGGATTTTATTCTGCACCACGTTTTTTGCCCCTGATTGGGTTAAAGTGACGCAAAAGAGATGTGGGAAAAAACTTGCAAAATTTTCTGGAGTTTCACACATTTTTACACCAATGGCGATTATTGACGTAGTAAAAGCAGAAACAGGCTTTACAACACATTGAGTAAATCCGAAGGAAACACAAACCAGGACCCTACTTCTCCCCACATAAATCTAGGTATTTTAATGCTCACTCTCTTTTCACACGGCAGTTAGCCGCTTAGTCGTGCCTTTGCATTCTCTAGGTGATTCCACTCGACAAAATTTGACATTGGGTGCTTCATCGTGCGTGATGAAATGACATTGCATTGTGTCGACAAATATATATAACGTAAATGACTACATTAAATAAACGTGTGCACAAATCGAGGATGACAAAGCGTGCAGTTGCGAAAATTTGTGTTGTAAAAGTTGAGAAAAGTACGCAACGTCAGTAAAAGGGAAATGTATTGTTTGGGATTGCAGTCTACTCAGGTTGCCACCCGCCCTCCTACTGGTAGCATCCCGCAGCGCTTTTGCTTATTATTAAGCCAGCGAATAACTGGAATGGCACATTAAAGGTAGGGGTACGAAAAACTGATTTCTGTTTTTAATTAGCCTGCTTTAACGTCTCATCCACCAAGGTAATGCACATTTGTCTCTCAACACGACCCTTCAGCCCTAACAATGACCCTTAGTATCCCTCTACATTAGCCATAAACTAGTTCTCGATATCGGTATGCCTTGTTACGGGTTTTAAGGGGCAAAATCAAGCAATCATATGGACTGAAATGCTGCAAATTAGGCACAAATAGCGTAGTGCACGCCTCTATATGCCTAAAGTAACGTTAATAAAGTGAAATCTATTTCTGTTTATTAAGGTGTACCAGATAAGGTTTAGAGTGCAATATGCGAAACGCCGCAAACCTATATCACTCGTGACAACAAAAGCGTGACAAATACAAGCAAAATCGGTAGCTGAAAATAAAGGCTGCTTTTATAATAAATGAAAAACATGCTAAACACATAAGTGAGAAAAACTCGCGTTCTAATCCGGTGTTATGCAAACAATTCATTCACCGGCTTACTTGAACTCGGGCGTGTTAGGTCTACCTTTAGCGAGGCGCGTGTCTGTTCAGAACCCATGTAAGTGTCTGCGCGTGCGCAGGATAATCTCACGTTCTTGCTCATTCTATTGTGTAGTGCTAATCATTGTATATATCGCAAACTGACTCGCCCACTCTGATTTGAGGACTGATCGTACGGTCTGCATCAAGTGTAAAGGTGGATTTGGACCGCCCTCTGTCTTTGTCCGTAAGGACGATCCTCCTTTATGCAGGTCAGTCTAAACATTTATGTGATTTTTTGGTTATATGTGAAAACCTTAATGTCATGCTCTGGCTTTCAAGGGGTGTGTGGCCGTAAGTGATTTGTCACGTATTTTAGGACCTGTTTCCAGGCTGGATGTGTGCACAAGTTTCGGTCATCTTTTGGGAAGGCAAACATCATCAGGAATCGAGAAGCAGTTGCGCTGGCTTTTTCAGGTGGTTCCTCGTCATTAGCAATGCTTAATTTAGCGAAAATGGTGGGTTGACGTGTTCCCAGTCTCATTTACTTTTGGTATGCTTGTGTAACATTTTGCATTACCATTTTCTTGCTAATTGTTTGTTTTTCTTCTGATTTGGTTTTTGCCCGCAATTTTCTCTAAGTAGGTGCGCCTATGCACCGTTAGCTATGACACACCCGTTTACTATTGCGTTCGTGCCTGTTTTTGATGCAATACCGTCTTTCATTGCTTAGTGTCAAGCCAGGACAGAAAGCCGAAAACTGCGTTTTGACCCGACAGTCGTTTGTATGTATGGTAAGTTGTCATTTTATTTCGATTTTCATGTCTTGGTAATTGGCAAGCAGTGGTGCCTTCTCGGTGAATAATACAATTTTAGATGTTGAGCAACCGTATCCTGTAAGGCAGGAGGAAGCCATGAAGGCTGCGGGTTTTGAGTATCGGATTGTAAGAACAAATGAGGTCTGATGCCGTTTGTGTTATTTCTTAGTTTGCATTGTTTATAAATAGATTGTCAGACAGTGCTTCTGCATCTTTTAGATCCCATTCACTGAGACAAACTGCAGTTATGTCGTTTCGACTCGCATTACCAATTCCACTCTGACGGCAGCTGAAGAGATGTTGCGATGGCAGCGTTTACAATACTTATTGATCTACACATCTCGTGTCCTGGGTTACAAATACCTTTTGGTGGGCGATAATGCCAGCCAGTTGGCTGCTCGCTGTCTTGCCGGCATCGCTCAAGGTCGTGGTGGGACTGTTGCAACCGAATTGGTATGTTCCCGTTTTCATTGCCTGTTCTACTGATATCATGTCGGTAGGGAAATCTTTGATAAGGTATTTGTGACGGTAGAGGTCTATGCAGGGCTACCTTGGCAGCATGGATGGATGGCTGGAGTTTCTAAAGTACTTGTAGTAACATGTTTCCATTATAGATTAGATTCAGTGCTCAAAAATGTGTGGATAAAGTCACAACTAGCACGTGCTGGTCTCTAGCATTTTTTCGCCTTCTGGGTCGTGTTTCGAGGATCTGATCTATGTTCTAACCAACTTGCCATGATATATTCACATCTCGTTGATTTAATGAAGCTTGTCATTATCAAAACTTCTTGGATAAAATATTACAGTATTCATTTGTTATAGTGTTATATGGCTGGCGCACTTTGAAATCCTTTTTTTTGGGGATATTCGCCCATCTGCAAAATGTTACCTCATGTTCGTGCTGTTTCACTCGCAAGATTCCAACATTTTGACATTTTGCTCATCCACTACTCAATATAAATCGTAACAGAACGATTTTAGTCAGAGTCGATACGTATGAAGAAAATTGGACGAAAGTCTGGACGCTGTGCTCATTTTGTTTGCTTCCTTATAATTTCTGAGACTTGACTATGAGTAATTGCCATAGTTTTGCCGAGAAATACTGAAAGGGTAAGGATTGCAGGCACCGATATTTGGATCTTATCGCAATAGGCTGATCACCAGAGGCACCATGGATTACTGTACTGTCAAACTTTGATTATAGGACTTCGCCGACACGCGTTATAGTGAGGTAACTATTCTGCGTCCGATGTACAACTTCCTTGCCAAAGAGGTGGCATTGTTTCTCCACTTTGCCGGCCTTGATACGGTAGTAGAGATGGGCTTAAGTGCACAACAGAACGTTGCGTACGGTCCGGGAGTCAGCTCAATCCAGCGCCTTACACAGGACTTTATCGGCTCCCTCCAATTTGCTGGATACCCCTCAACCACAATGGCTGTGCTCAAGTAAGTTTCTATCCTACCCGCCGCGAATGCTATTGCCTTTATGGACGAGCTCTTCCGGGTCAATTGGAATTTTTTACAACTTTATGCTTCGTGACCAAGAGGCTGAATTACCAACCGCACAGCTCATTTCCAAGCGCTTGATTATATTATTTGTGTTGCTTTACAGTCCCTCTTTTAATGCCCACGTTGTGCCAATTTCATACTCACCTAATTAAGTTGATTTGCCTTGCCTTTACCATTCTTATAATGCAAGTACTTCTAGATCTGCTGCTTGTAGTTTAAGGCTATTAGCTTTGGCTGGATTTTGCTTTAAAAAAACTGTTTTTAGTGTGGGATCACAAGCCTGTGGAAACGATATGCAGAGTAAAAGAAGTGAATTCTTTTCGGACACTTTTGCTTTTGTACCTACTTGGTCTTAGTCTAGCTGCTAACGCCAGTCAAACTTATTTGGAGATTGCATATGCTTTTCCATTTTATAATGACGGTCTTTTAATCGTCTTAGCGCTGCTTCGAGAACACTTTCATCTGAAAACAGATCCGATCAACGCTGTACGGTTTGCTACGTAAGTGATATCATGACCTATCCCGATATTTGATGGGCAGGAAACTTTTCACCGCATTTAGTGACCGATTTGTACAGAATTATCCATTGTGCATCTTACGGTATTGGCTAATCCGATATGTTTTCCCTTGACGCAATTTAAACAATTTTCCAAAATTACTTAGGGATTTAGTAACCCCTTTTTCTCCACCCATAGCAGTAGGATGTGTTATTGCATTTAACCAAACAGGTAATTTATTTAAGCAATTTCTTCCGAGGAATGCGAAAAATCATCTTTGTATTTGGCTCATTTGGCTGTACAGCCTTGCGTGACCGCTCTGTACCCTGCCAAAGACTCCCTTTTTATAAGATTATGGGTAAAGAATGATTAAATCTGCTGTAGATAAGACTGGCCCTCGGTTGTATTTGTTTGGCTGGACTATAGACCAGCTACGGGAAAACCCCAATGCTCTGTCTGGTATCATGGTCTCATTGCGTTCTTTATGACTTCTCAGTGGGGGATTGGTAGCATAATGAGGCCTTTTCTTGATTGCAGTCGAGTGCCCTCTATTTGAACGTATCACTAGTAAGAGGTGATAATTGCTGTCCAAATTTTAAATCGGTGGATAATCTTACATTGTTGTTAATAGGTGTTTCCGTAAATATTTAATGTGGGATTAATTTCCCATTTCCCCATGCAAACATCTAAATTTTGAGCTGTTATTTCTTGTCTTTACTTGGGTTTTTCGTTCTTTACTTTTTTTGGACGATTACACTCTTTGGTTTTTACATTTTAATTTGCTGCCATCAAATCAAATCCTAAAGTACATCCGATGTTCAAATACCGTCTTAAAGCCTAATTACCCATATCTCTATCTCATTTACATGATCGAGTCACGTTCTAAAACTACTTCAAAGTAACAATTTTGAAAAAAAAGATTTCAGGCGTTGAGTGTGGTCTTTTTATTCATCCAGTCTTTATCCCAAAGACAGGTTTGCGTTAGAGATCATATAAGGTTAACGTTTCGCCCGTATTTCTATATTTTACCAGATTTCAAAAATTTTTTTGGCTAATTGACAAATGCGAAGTTTGGAGTTGGCGTAAAATATACAAGATTTATCTTGCCTTGCGTGTTTGTATTTTTTCTTTTACTGGCACACAAAAGGGCTGATCTGTCCAATGTACTAAATCTGGCTTCTTCAAAACCACTTTACTATCCTAAGGAGCCTATTTCATGCGTCTTTTCATAGGGAGGGACTTCAAAGCATCATGTGTAGTTTGACTAGCATAAACTTTATTCATGTTAATAGTTTGGATCCCCCATTTTTTGCCTACAGGCTCCACTACCGCGTTCAAATCAGGAAAACAGCTTGGAAGAAACTGTTACAGCGTTATCAGCGTATGAATTCTCTGCACGGATATCAAGGAATTCAAAGACTAGCTGTAATCCTGCCTCACCACCACCCTTTCCTCCACCTAATTCTCCCGCCTTATGCTCTTGCTGCTTGTTCAACCGGACCGAGCTGCAAAAGGCTGGTCTGTGGGATTAATTTTAATCAAGTGAATTTTCTCACTCACTTTTTTTCGTGGTTACTTTCAGAATAAATAGTTTTTTAAAACAAAAATATTTCTCTTCATACATCTCCCCCTATTTTTTTCTGGTTGAAGTGTCCGTAATTATCTTTGGAAAGTCACTATATTTCGAGCTATCTAGTCATCGTTAATAAGTAGTGTGAACGAAAATCACTGAATTTGGGACCTGATCACTGTTTCTTCGGCTTTATTACTTGCATGGAATGCTATATTGTCTATCTGCTTATAAATTCTAAATGGCATGGGTCTACACTGCTCCATTTGTTTCTCACATAGAATTGAACGCTTCTATCGTCCGGATCGTCACACATCATGTTCTTGCGTATTTTTTTTTCTTTCACGTTTCCCAAAACTAATTTTTAGCACGTAATATTGTCCTTCTAAAATGCCTCTCTCAACCTTTACTCCCCAGTCGAGTCTTACGTCATCACTTTTTGCTGTCAGTCATTCCTCTTTTTTCCCGTTTGAAGATATTCTACTATAAGAGCGCGGTAGTTGGGTACGCTGTCCTTCATAGCCGTATTCTATTTAGATACCATCAAACAACGCCGCTTAGGGTGGTTCGACTTTGATGTTGAGTGGGTGGGGTACAACTGATTTGCCAAACAATATTATTTGAGTGGGGCAAGTAAACACATCTCTCAAATGTTATTGCGCAATGCGAAATGGCTCGCAGAACCTCAAACTGAACATTGAGTATTTGCGGAATATTACGTGTTAGTGAGGCGTTAGCTTCGTTTGTGGGCAGGTCGTTACTTTTAATGAATAGTTGTGTGGAGTTCATAACTCCCTGGTGGCGCTTTGACCCGATTTTATAGAGGTCATAATGATGTTATTTCCCTTTGCTTTGCGGAGACATGAGTTGGTATTTTTTTCTCTCAATGAAGGAAACTGATTTTATCATCTCTGAATGCAAATCCTAAAGCAAATCCTGATGAACTTGTGTATTTTAATTTGTAGATGTTGTACTCATATAAGTCTCGATTCAAAGTAAGTAGTCTTCCATCGTGATTCTTGTCCTTGTCTAACCAATTCTTACCAAGGTTTTTGATCGTAGCAATTGAAGTTTGCAGATTGAATAGGACAAAAACGAATTTGTCACTATTTTTTGGGATGTTTCAACTAATTTTTATTGCAAAAGCGTGGCAATTGTTACAAGCCTTTCACAGAAGAATGGCAGTCGTAATTGGTGGTTAATTATTCCTGCCTTTAAAACCTATAGACTTCAATTAACCAAATCATAAACTAAAGTAAATATGTGCAGTGCATTAAGTCGGGCATTTGGGTTTATTCTAGTCCGCATGTGAGGGCGCATGCTACATTAATGTCTCATTAATTTTATCCAGACAACCTTCACCGGTCATTTTTTTTTCACTCTGTACTTTTAGTTCACGTGCCTAACATTATTATGCAAGGATTTAGTAGCTGCATCTCCAGCCTAGATGAGAATTTCCCATTGCACATCACTCAGTCGTTTGTTGAATAAGGCGCGGATACGCTCCTACCTTCATAGTCAGCTCCTTTTTTGCGGTTTGTTTGTCCGTCCTTCCTTCACGCCTTTCTGTCTATTTGCTTTGAAAGCCGAAGCACTACCCATTACAAGGGTGTGGATTAAGCCTTTCAAAATTAGTACTTCATTTAAATTACGAAGTGACTACTGGGCATATTCTTGATGTGTAAACTGTATTTTAGAACTTTTAAACTCCACAATGCAACCCTGTGCTCGTAGTGTTTTCCCTATTGATGTGGATAAGTACTTTTATTTATGTGTGATCTTAATGACCAATTTTGGAACAAAACTCTTTTTATGCTCTTTTCACACGCATTATTTGCAGAGTTGGCAGCATCGGCCCACCCAGAACTGGCGGCCAAGGCCTTATCGCAACACCGTATTTAGTCGTGTTTTATTCGGGCAAATGAATCATAAAAAGTGAATTTGTTTGTTGTAAATTCGAATGAGCCTCGGAACATCAGAACACGCTTCTCACCCCAGTGCGAGTTGGAATTATTTCCACATTTGAGTTGGACGAATTCTTATCCTGCACAAGTAGCTCCAGGTACACTATTTTGGTATGTATACTTTTTCACCCTACTTACAGTTCCTGTTTTGTTTCGTGCAAGTTTGTTTTTTAGCTTCATTATCCATTTCTGCGTCATTCGATGCCTTCACATCATCATTAAAGTTATGCTTTCATTGTCTTAACCTTGGTTAAATAATTTAGAGGTCTTATTGTAAAATGCTCCCATCTACCATTTACACTATGTAATTTATCTTGGACTTTTGCCTTCATTGTTAAACGAAAACGAGCGAAATGAAGTCCATTAATTTACTAAAAGGCTATTGTATTCCCTTTACAGGTATTTCTTTAACTTCAATGACTCATGCTCTTCTAATTTTCGATAAATCCCGGGATCAGCATAATCTTCACTTGTACGATTTTGAGCGTTGGGCATTGGCCGAAACCAAAACTGCCGCCTGATTGGCTGGTTGCTGATCAAACGATTTGCGATTCCCAGAAAATCCACGGAGCGTGAGAAGAAGAAGCCTTAGGGCTGGTAAGAGCAGTCAAGCAGCCTGTCATTTTTACCAATGCCGTTAGCAAGGCTCTTCATAATCGACGTTACAATTCTCACTTTCGCCGGTCTTTCGGGCTTGCTTTCGCTGACCTGCTTCAGCGCCACCATCCATTGGGCTATCAATGCGGAATCAAAGTGCGAGGGATGCATAGCCACAACAGAGAGCCGCTGCTTATCAAGCAAGTTCTAGTCGCTTTAACTCCTTTATTTACAAACTTACCTTCAAGGAACCAAATGTTTGGTTCACGTAACGTATTAGTGAACAGTAATCGTATTCATTTACGGTCGTCTTAAGTAGCAAATTCCAGTGAATTTGAAAAGGCTTGTACTGTCTCCCACGTAGATCGAACTTTTTGCTGGGAAGAATAGACTGAGGAACGGTGGGAAGGCGTAAATCAAGTGATTAAATTTTGTTTGTATGAGAAACTTCACTTTTTCTCTTTACACCTTCCCTTTCCTTCACATCTGGCCAGGTTCGTTAGGTGACGATGCGAAACGGCGTCGCATTTTTGACGAAAAGAAACGAAAATTTATTATGTTTACGGGAATTGTGCAGATAAGCTGGCAAAATATCAGGAGCCGGGAGTCAAGCATTTATAATTCATGACGTGAACCATTGTCCGGGAATACACTTAATTTACTATCAGAATTTTTTGATCAAAAATGTTCGTCGGATATTTTAAATAAGTTTTAACTTTTAACTGCCTGTGCTAGTCAATGGCGTGCTTCTTTCATTGGCACAGCGGCTATATATTCGGTGTTAGAAAGTCACTTTTACAGCAATTCCGGATTACTGTGGGCATAAGTGCTAGTAACAGCCTAAACGGATCGCTGCGTTTTTACATACTTGTAATAAACTAAAATTGAGCAATTGGAACTGCTTTCTTGCCTCGTCACTGCATACCACCAAGCTCGGTTACAAAAATGCAGCCAATTTATGAAATACCCATCGGTTTATAGAAGTATTGTCTACAACTAATGCCTTGAACGATGCATGTGGGCTAGAACACGTCACGATAAACGTCTTTTTTTGGAGACCCCTTTTGACAGGAGAATGGAGTGCGCATTTAGCTTGTAACACCCAGCATTTGGGGCACTTTTAACTGCATTCTCCTACTCTCACACGTTTGGTCGTCGCTTTTAAAGAAATGTTTCAATTTGCAATTTTTAAACTTGCAGCGTAGTTTTTTAATTGGTCGCCATTCATCACACCGAAGCCTTCTAGTTGAACGCATTTTGCTTATAAAAATGTAGGGCACATTTTGCGGTCTCCGGAGTTTGTTATTGCCTTTCAAAATGTTTGTCTTCTCTGGATTATGCAAAATGAGTGGGTGAGGAAAATTTATGCCCTGGTGATGGTTGTAGTAAAAGCTTTCGTTGGAGATGGCCTTTCTTCGAACGACCATATGTAAATGCAAAAGTTCTCTCCTACATTTGAGAGACTTTTACGTCCTGAAATAATTTTAACTTTTAGGTAAAAGGTTATTTATCTATTAGTTTTTCTGGCGCATCACCAATTACAGAAAGCGCTCCATTTGACACCTCTGAAATTAGAACTTTGACTATTTTTGATATTGAAAATTAATTTGATTGGCATTAATATTTGAGACTATTGCTGAAAGCTTTGGAGCCATCAATGTTTATCGATACTTTGGTCTTGTTGCAAAACCACGGATTCAAGGATACCCCCAAGAATTTTAGCCAAATCTTTTGTCTCCCTCACGTAGTGTCCTTGCATAGGGGTATTAATGAAGCTAGCTCTGCTAATGCATCCTCCTCCCCAGATTCATTGGTATGAGGTCAACAAATTAACAATCGGATTTGTTTAGTGCTTTGCGCTTGGAGGAAATAAATGAACTCGACTGTAAAAGCGTGTAAATATTTTCACGCCCATAGGTGGACGGCTGGAGTAAATTATTTTTCTATTGCATGGCTGGACATTTGTCACTTGCTGCAATGGGTTTTTTTTTCGCTGAAAAGCACCAATTAACAGAAAGGGAAAGTGGATCTTTTACTGATAAGTATTTTCACTACCTAATTTGAAAACCTTGGACACCCAAGGGGTGGGTGTACTTTATGATGTAATTTAATTAAAAATCATTGTTCTCTTTGTTATTGTGTGAAAATCGTAATAAATTTTAAGATTTAGTAATCTTAATTATGATACTTTAATCTCTAGAGTACTACATTAATTTCACAACACCGCCTACATTAGCTATTCATTTGGTTTCAGAAACATCCTTTCGAAATTTCAAGGGGAATTCCCGGGTAATTATGTTTAATCGTTTGATATTCCAAATTATTTTTCACGAGGTTTGGATAAATTTTAGTAGGACCCCCCAAGAACATACAAATGTATTCAAGTAATGGTGCGTATGTGGCGTCCTGAGACTTCCCTGAAGACGAAAGAAGCCACTATACTCGGGCAGAGTATTTTTTTTCGGCTAATGGCATGAACCGGACCCCATGCCGCTCGTTATGGGGAACAATGGCGAACCCTCTAAGTGGCCCGTTGCCAAAACGAAGAGTTAAACAAACATTTAAAGCATTGCATAGTCCCCCTCCCTTTTTGTGCGTCACCCCTGACGCTCCCTTGACCAACATTTCATGTCGGCCATCACAACATAGTCAGTGCTGTTAGAAAAACACCCACCAGTCACCCGTACCAGTCATCTAATTTCCATGCAACTAAGAAGAATATCCAACCGCATCGTCATTTATCCCTCTTCAAATTTCTCCTGGATATGAAGTTGCGTCCTCCTCAAAAACTGCAATGAGGAAAGGTGAATTTGCCGGCCACCTTGTATGCCCACCACTAGTCGTAGGAACACCGACCTAAAAGCAGAGTCATATACCAAAGGGCGGGCATTAAAATTCTTTTTTCGAGGTGGAGTTTACGTTTATTTCTCTTTGCCACTTTATTCCCACTTCGGAGCTGCCCGCCCATATCTATCTGGGTTACATTTAGCTAGTGAAAAGTTAGAGAAGGTCTCGTGTGTTCACATAATTGATCTTCATACAGGAACGGTAGACATTTTCGTAGCGAATTCTTCCAGGTGGTTCACGTCGGGGATTGCTCCTCTTATTAATAGCATCGCTGCAGACCGCGGGAGTGGAGTAGTTGCCGGTGGTAGACGTCATTTTCAGACCTTTCGCTGGGAGTCCTCACATATCTTCCTATCCACAGTATAAGCACTTCTTCCGTTGCACCAAGGTTTATTGGTCAGTGGTTGAAGCCGGGAGAGTTGTTTTTTAGGGCAGGGTTTGTTTTCCGCCGCCACCAATGTGACGCTCAGAGACTTTCCTGAGGACGAAAGAAGCCACAACACTTGGGCGGAATATGCATTGTAGACACAGAGAAGGGATTGGCGTTATTGGCATTTATCAGAGTACAATGGTGGAGGGCCTAAGCAGTCCCGTTGCCGAAACCGCCCCAAGTCTTACACTTGTATGGCCTGAATCAGGTAATGAATACATTTGTGGGAGAGAATTTCATTGCTAAAACTGTATTTTTACTTCTTCCAGGGCCTTTATCGTTAAAGTAAACCAAATTTCAAAGAATTATTCGAAATCTCCTTCATTTTTCTTAAATTTACGGGCCTGATGCTTATGTTATTTGAGAAGGTACACCTTAAATGTTTTGGTCCTATTCTTACTCGAAACATACGAACTTCGTTTATCCAATAGCAATGTGTGTCGTGCACTTCTTCTAAGACAACTTCTTTGGTCTTCAGGTAAGTTTTGCCTTTGGGGATAGATGAACTACCCTGAGGGACCCCAAAGCCGCTAAGTCTCAGTACAGGAAATGGATATGGGCTCTTTATAAGGCAAATATGGAGATTTTTGAATCTCAGAAATTCCTCTATGTAGCCTGAACAGCCTAGTTGTGTGAGTTCAAGATTGGAACATGCTTATTTATTTTTCTAAGTGCGCTTTTTAATACCTTTTGGGTACCTGAGACCTTGAACAAAGCAAAGACAGCCATGGCTTTCGATGCCAAATGTAGATAAATTGTTTCTGGCCTTTGCTGATAAAATTTATGCTTACTGTGCAACTGCCGTAGCAGTCCATGAGTTCAAAAACGTGTTTTTTGCACAATTTTCCCTCAATGAAAGACCAGAAAAAAACCTTTAAAAGTAACCAGAACGGGTCGACAGATGTAAATCTTGGCTCATTTTTCGCTGGAGGAAGTAGACTCCCTTATGCACAGGCTAACAATTTTGCTTCAGTAAATACTCGACCCCATTAGTATAATTGTGAAGGGCTCGCGACAACTTTTAGCCGGCGCCCCGGCTGTGCCAAAATTCATCGCCCTCGGTTGTGGCTGCAGTCTGACGGCCTTTGTCATTGGTGTTCTACGATTGCACTTGGAGAAGATCGGTCGTCACAAGCACTCCCGAATCGCCTACATCGCCCTCCTTAGTTCAGGATGTGAGTTAGTTTTTTTTTCCCAATTTCATACAACTTATTGACTATAGTGTGTCATGCCACCTTGAACTTTGTACCTATTTTATTTTTTTATTGGCGCGATTCAAGTATTTCGTTGTGTTACCTCTACAGCTCCTCTTGAATTTGTCTCAACTCATTTCCTCCGGGCCATAAAACAAAGAATTTTTTGCAAATGAAGAACAAGAAAATGGAAACAACTTCATTGTTGTTTAGCAGTACACTGTCTGGACACTTTTCACTGTGTTGTCACTTGAACTAACGCAGGAAGTATATAGGAGCCAAATAATAAGACACTTTTGGTATGGTAGACAATATACTAATAATACGTGTCCTCCAAGTACTGCTTCATTAGTCATCGAAAAAACATCTCCCGTTTTTATTTGTATCATGCGACAAAAGTCACAAATGGTTATCAAGTGGATTTCGATTAAAGGCTTGGATGCTATTTTATGGAGTAACATGTAGGTTATTGAAGCATAAAACAGGCTTAAACAAACATGGGAACATATGTTGCTTTTCGTATATGTTGTTCGGTATCCAAGCCTCACAAGCATTGAGGGAGTTGAGCAGTGCACAGTCCACACACCATTGTAATTTAGGTGTTGTGTCTGTCCTTCTGGGAGGTGCTTGAAGTTATTTGCTTCAGTTGAACCCACACTCACATATCAGTTGGCACAAAATCACATTGCATTTCAATTCTGAGATTAAATGGTTTTTCATTTATCGCCTTATCCATTGACCATTGATGAAAATCTTTATGCTCATTGCTTGAAAGTCAACTTTTTACCAAATGTAATCGCGACTCTCAGCTTCATCACCAAATTAAAATATCGGGTTTGCTGGAGCAAATTAGAAGTTCGCTTGGTTATGCAAATATTGCGCAATTATGCTTTCCGAATTTACGGAATGTACTTTGCATCAAGCTCAACAATTGGCAATAAAGTCGGACACGCATAACAGTCTTTAAACTGTTTTGAATAATTAAGTCTTTTGTTGGGATTTCAGCATTTAATTTTTAAAACCCATGTAACATTCAGTTTTTGACGAGCTGCGTAAGACGTTTTTGGTCAAGTCTTAACCTCGTCTGCAGGATAGGCTTGGCATCACTTTAACAAAGGGTGTGCACGTCAAACTAGAACTTTTGTGTTTCCCTAGAACAGAAAAGAATGCGTTTTAAAGAGTGAAGATGACATTTATTTCTCAACACAGTTCTCTGTAATACGTATTTTATTTCTTAACTAGTACCTGGTAGGGTTCAGTACGGGAAGATTAGTTAATATGGCCTGCCTGGCTCTCGGGGCTGTGTAAAGGAGTTTACTCATTGCTTTCGCAAAATGATTCGTTTCTCACCGATTACTCTGCGTTGATCAAGCGTTCCACGCACAGCTCTGCTTTTGGGTAGCAACGGGACCACCAAAGCTGGGAATGTTACTGACGTACAAGTTTGCGACATTTGAATGTCTTACTGCAACTAACCATCCCACTACCGTACTATGCTTGAAATCTTCTGTAAGGGCGGACATTTGGGGGTCGAATTTTATGCCTCTGTTCACAGGAAAATTCATTCTCTATCACACGTCATTGCCTGCCATAATGATTGGTTGCGTCTGGACTGGTTGAAGCGCGACAAAGACTTTAAATGAAATAGCAAAAAGACATACTTTCCACGGTAGGATCACTTTATGTGCCTTCAGAATCCTAGTCCCAATTTTCCTTGAACGCGCTTCAGTTTGCCACCTAGCACGTATCTATTACTTGTTTCCGCTTGTTTAAAGCTATGTCAATGCTAATAGCCTTGGTGATATGGGGCGACATGGCAGCACACATGTCCACCAAGGTAATCGAGCAAAGACGAATGAGCTTGCTGCGGAACTACTTCCGTCTTCTGAATGCCAATATCTACGAAAACCGCACAGCCTTAGTGCATGTGGTGACGGAGCACATCGCGGCCGCTCGGAATCACCTCACCGATGCCTCCCTCGTGGAGGCCTTTCAAAACCTTTACTTCTCATGGCCTTTTGGGGTAGCCGTAACCGCGGAGATCTTTCTCTTCATGGCCACGGTACTCTACCTCACTCGGAAAGACTTTAAAGTGGCGCCTCAACAATTTCCTGTTTAAGATTCCTCCCCGTTACTGTCGTGCCTTCATCCACACGCCCGTCTGCTTTTATTTTGGCCTGTCGATTTGGAATTTGTAGTATCGTTACTTTTTGTATCCGTTGCCCTTGTGATCACTATTCATTGTTGATACTGTAAATCCTTATTGCCATCTCTGTCTTTTCATTTACAGAAAGCTGTTTGAGGATGCGTTAAAATTGCCTGGAGTGAACGGTATTTTTTCGGTCTGCTTTTTTATTGCTTAACATACCCTTTTATTGGTTCGTTTGTATAGTGTTGAACAGGCTTTTAATTACCGTACTCATAAAATTTGTCTGATAGCCAAAGCATGGGTGATATTGTAGGGTTACGTAACTTCCCTGAAGCCGAAAGAAGGTATAATACTTGGATGAAACATGTATTTTCGAAATGCAGATGGGATTGGAGCTGTTGGCATGGGCTGTAGGCCCGTCCCCCGATGAAGGTACAATGCTGGAAACCCCAAGTGGCCCCACTACCAAACCCGAAAGTTGAGTAACCACTTAAAGTATTACGTAGTCTTTCTCCTCTTTTGAGCGTCGTCTCCGGTGTCAGCTGTCAAAATGTATTTGATGCTGTAAGAAAACTACCTATGAGCCAACCGCACCACGCAACCGAGGAGATGTTTGACTGCAACATCACTTATCCCTCTTGGCAATTCTACCGGATCTAAGGTTGCGTCCTCTTCGAAAACTGCGTTGAGGGAAGGGATAATATGCCAGCCACTTTGTATTTGTATCAATAGTCGTAGGAACACTGGCCTAACAGCAGAAATTTAGTAAAGAACAGGGTTTAAAGTAGTATGTTGGGTATCATGTTCCGCGTCTATACCCATCCGCTTGATGGGGGAGAAGTAGAGGAGGCAACCCATGCTCACCTGATTGACACCTCCACAACAAACTTTAATACATTGTTCTCGGCCAGTATAGCTTGCGTTGTGAATAGCATCCCTGCAGGTCACGGAACAGGGGATGTCGTTGATGGTAGACGTCGTTCTCAGACCTTATGCTAGGGGTCCTCACATACTTTCTTATCTGCAGCATATGCATTTCTTCCATTGCTCCAAGGTTCATTATTCAGCAGTTGAAGCCAGGAGAGTTTTCCTTTAAGATAGGTTTCGTTTTTACTGATACCAGTATAGCACACTGAGCTTTCCCTGAATACGAAGGACGACAATGTAGACGGACAAAAAAGGGATGTCGACGCAGGGAAGGGGTTGGTGCTACTGATATGGGTCGCAGAGCCAGCCACCCGGTGGAGATACAGTGGCTTAGCCCCTGAGTGCCCAATTAATAAGACGGGAACAATTAGGGAAATACTACTGTTTCCACAGAAGCTCTGTGTAAACTGGATGCATATATCGAAACTTTCTTCTAAAATTTACTTTGTGCCTAGAATGTTTGGTTTATTTATAAATCTTAAAGTATTAAACTCAATCCGATTGTAAATTCTGTCTTTGTATTTACACCAAGTGTAATATACTGTTTGTCTGTGGCACATTTTAGCGTTGTTTGTTCTGATAATTATGATAGTAAGTTCCATTTTGCACGTATTTATATTCGGTTTATTTTAGAATTCATTGCGGAAAGTGCATTTAAAAGAATTATTTTAGTTGTACACAAGGCATCTGTCATAGGCTGTTGACTTAAAAAGTGGGAACATTTGGCTTAAATGTTTTGTGTGTACGTAATGCCTAAATTGGTTTCTTAACTAAGTTTTGGTAACGGGGTGCTTGGGGGCTCTGGCACTGTACCTCCACTCTTCAGCCAGCCCTCCAACCCATGTCAGTAGCCCCCAAGTTCTTCTGTCAGTTGACAGTAATGTTCCGCTCGAGTGTTGTGGCTTCTTTCGTCCTCAGGAAAGTCTCTGAGCGTCACATTGGTGGCGGCGGAAAACAAACCCTGCCCTAAAAAACAACTCTCCCGGCTTCAACCACTGACCAATAAACCTTGGTGCAACGGAAGAAGTGCTTATACTGTGGATAGGAAGATATGTGAGGACTCCTAGCGAAAGGTCTGAAAATGACGTCTACCACCGGCAACTACTCCACTCCCGCGGTCTGCAGCGATGCTATTAATAAGAGGAGCAATCCCCGACGTAAACCACCTGGAAGAATTCGCTACGAAAATGTCTACCGTTCCTGTATGAAGATCAATTATGTGAACACACGAGACCTCCTCTAACTTTTCACTAGCTAAATGTAACCCAGATAGATATGGGCGGGCAGCTGCGAAGTGGGAATAAAGTGGCAAAGAGAAATAAACGTCCCCGGTCCCATGACCTGCAGGGAAGCTATTCATAACTTAAGCTATGCTAACTGTGGATGACCTGGAAGAGTTCTTTACGGAGCAGTCTACGGTGCCGGCACGGAGATGTCAATCAGGTGAGCAAGCGAGATCTCCTTTACTTTTCTCCCACTCGACCGGAACCCGGGCAGATGCGGCTGAGGGTGCTGAAGTTAAAGCGCGGTGGCAGTCATTGTAAGTTAAACTAATGAAATTGGAGGTTTTATAGTTTTTGAATGATGTGTTGCAGCGTTTACTGCTATTAATAATTTGTTGAACAGGGATGCAACGTAGCAATCAGCAGCAATGAAAAAATTCGGCTGTTTATCAGGCTAAAAACAACAAATTAGTTAATTCACCCATTATTAAAGCTATTTAAGTTCTTAGTCCATTATCTGTGGGTTGCAAAAAGAACCTGTCAAATCACCTTCCACTTTATAAAGGCAATAATCACTGTGGTTCATAGATGAAAGCATGTGTCGCCTTCATACAACTTGTTTTTTTTTAACATATCATCACCACTCATTCGGCAATTTACTCAATGGCGTTGAAACACACAACACATTGGTGAACCCTTCCAAAGAAGACTGCTTTCCTATTTTTCCTTAGCTGGCTTTGGTGTTTTCGGGGCATTAATAAATATTCCTGTAGGTGGTGGGCCTGTAAAAGCCGGTGGCAGAATGTATTACGTGTCGCGGTGATGCTTAGGTGAATTTCGAGATTCCAGTTTGGTTTTCGGTGCCAATTCATGTTACTAGTCCCCAATGCTATGGCAAATTGGGTTTCCACTTAAGGCGATTCACTCCTTTACATTTACTTAAGTAGATTCAGTAATAGGGCTTCAAATTGCTGCTCAAATATCCCTATCGTAAACGACGGGATTAACGCTTGCTTTCACCAGTACTCAGTGGAGCTCCGGGCTACCGATTTTTGACATTTACTTATCTATCACAGGAAAGGGGTGTTTTAGTGACGTCCTCATCGCTTCTATCTCATCCGTACAGCTGTTAATAGTAACTGATTCATTGAAACTATCGCATATATATCCACAGATTCCCCACTTTGCTTGCAAATTAATGTCGTTTGTCATGCTAAAAGGGACGGCATTAAGTGAAAACTTCCAATGAACACCTAAATAACGGTTCCACGCTTTTGAAATCCGGACCTTGGCGACCGACTGAAACAGTTTCACCGCTCCGAACGTCCTCATAGACCGAGAGGTAGCTTTTTGAAGATGTAGACGATCAACGAAATGGCAGTGAAGGTTAATTGAGTTAAGTACCATGGCAACGGTATGCAGACCGATTCACACTAAATAAGTAGAACCATTTAATCGAATCGCGATTTAAATTCGCGCCTTCATTGTTACTTTGGGCCTGTTTTCCCATGTTAGCTTCGTCCCTCGAATCTAGGAAACAAATGCCCTGCAAATGCATGGTTTGTTTGTTTAACTCTCGGTTTTGGTAGCGGGTCACTAGGGCAACCTCGCCATTGCATATCTACTGGGCTATACCAGTGATCCCCATACCCTTCCGTATGTTGACAAGATACATTCTGCCTGAATATCGTGTCTTCCTTCGCCTTGAGGGAGGTCCTGGGGCGCTACGATATACCTCATTTATGATGGGTAACGTGCGATTGGTTTGCCTTAAAAATGACTTTCTAGTAAAGTAATGAGAAAAGCAGTTTAGCTATGTTTACGTTCTTTCCAGTTTTCTTGGCTAGAAATATTTAATAGCACAGGAAGACTGCCAAAACAACAGTTCACGCTGCCACTACAGTAGCTACCTAGAACACCACGACACACTTGTTTTGAGCCTAGTAAACTTCACAGGGTATTCTCTAGTTTAAAATAGCGCATCCTTTGCTAACTGCAATTCTCCTTCTTTGCTTACCGGCAATTAGATCTAAGTAACAAGCAGTCATAACGTCTCCAGACTTTACTTCAGAACCTGCACAATGCAGGTCTACCGAATCAAATGCAGGAATAATTTCAGCAATGAGGAAAGCCGGACTCCATCAACACCTTCCGCCATATATACATTTAAAATTCCAATGAACTTTGCAAATAGACTGCC